TGGTCAACCGGGTACTACTAATAGTATTCCCAAAACGATGGAATATGGTAATCACATCTCTTCCGATGAAAAAGAAATATGTGAGATTTTTCTCGAATTATTTCAGTTCTGTCTTTGCAAACCCAGAGGAGACTATCTTATATTCTCACAATGAATTATCCAATCGTAGTAATTGTACCCTAAGTGATATCACAATCACACAAGACGACATACAGCAAAAGATTGCGAAATTAGACCAAAGAAAAGGCTCTGGACCAGATGGTATTCCTCCTTTATTCATTAAGAAATTCGGCAAGGAATTTAGTAATCCCTTGTGTATTATATTTAATGCATCCATTAAGGCAGGTATTTTTCCATCAGTATGGAAAATAGCTCATATTGTTCCGATTTATAAATCCGGCGACAGACCAAATTGCGAAAATTATCGACCCGTAAGTATCTTGTCTTGCCTTGGTAAATTGTTTTGATCATTGGCGTATGATTCTCTTTATCATCATATTCAACCTTTCCTATCGCTTCGACAACATGGCTTCATTAAGAACAGATCGACGACTTCTAATTTACTTGAATACAAACACTATCTTTGCAGTGCTTTCGCCAAGAGAAAACAGGCATGGGAGTCTGTTGAGATGGACTGAATCATACCTCAACAGGAGAAGTAAGTTAGTTACTATAAAAGGTTTCAAATCCTCACCCGTTTCTGTGACATCGGGTGTGCCACAAGGGTTCCATTTAGGTCCTTTATTTTTTAATATGTTTATTAACGATCTCATTGATAAATTGACATGTCCTTGCCTGTTGTATGCAGATGATTTGAAGATATTTTCCGTTATCGATACACTCAGCGATTCGTTCAATCTTCAGTCGAATTTAGACTCCATTCATAATTGGTGTAAAGAAAACCTAATGCATCTGAATACGAGAAAATGTTTTGTCTTATCATTTAGTAACAAGAAGCACAGACTTACATTTGAGTATAAAATAAATGGACAGGTACTTGATAGAAAATCCGTAGTTAAGGATCTTGGAATACTGTTTGATGAAAAGCTTACGTTCTGCGATCATTACGATCATGTGATATCTAAAAGTACAAAACTTCTTGGCTTTATATTTAGAACTGCAAAGACTTTTAAAAATCCACGAAGCTTTCTTATTTTGTACTGCTCCCTAGTACGCAGTATTTTAGAGTACAACATAATTATTTGATTTCCATGCTACGCTGTCCACGTAGATCGTATTGAACGTGTTCAAAAGAAATTTCTATCAATCCTCTGCTATAGGTACGGTTTAAATAGAAGTCTGCCCTCGTATGAAGAGAAACTGAAAAAGTTTAACATTATATCACTATAAACTCGGTGTGAATATCAGGATATGCCTTTTCAAAATTATTCATTCCTTTATAGATCCTCCTTTCATTTGTCAAGATTAATACTAAGCCCCATCGTCGGTATACTTTCCTAAATACTTTCGCTTTGCAAGTTTATAGAAATAATATGTCCTATTACAATTGAATAGGAACCAGACAAACGTTAACTAAGAAACAGAAGTGGGGAATCGAGGCTTCTCTCGATCCGGCCTCCTATAACGCCTACGTTGGGTTCGGAAACAACGTATGCGATCTCCGCAACGGAGTAACACACAAGGGCAATAACCTCTTCCTTTTCAGAAAATAGGTTCAGGCGGGGATTACGGGTCTTCCGAAGACGTCCCGGTCCCAACGCCTCAATTCTTCGATATGGACTGTATCACTTTAAGGGGAGAATTCCTTGGGAATAAAACAGCATTTATCTTCAAACCGTTCCGTGAGAGAGTAATTACTTTTCCCTATCACTTCCCCATACTTTTTCTTTCTTCTTCTTATTGACTGCTGGTCTTGCACTTTTCCCGAACTCCCGAATCTCGAAGTTTCCCGAACTGTCCCGAACGAATTGCAAAGATGAGAGATGTTCTTCTTCTGTGTAACCTTTCTTAGGTTTTGAAGGCCTGCGGGTGTCGAGGTAGCCCTCATTACCCGGACTTCATCGCGTGGGAGGCACGGCTCTCACGGTCTTGGGTACTGCGCTTTGACGCAGTTTATTAGTTGATGTTTTGCGTACTTCACGCCATCTATTCTGGTGTCGGGACTCTCACTCGTCCCCGGCGTCCCCCTCGCCGGGCGGTGAGCGCAGAAGTTCACGTGGGAGTGGTCGCCCGTCTGGTGGGCGCGCGTGTAGCGGAGCTATATTGCGAAGATGTTGGTGTGGTCCGTTATCTGCGCGGTCGTACAACCGTCTCGCAGTACGGACCACAAATTCGTGGATGGATTCCATTCTGAGGTCACGCGCTATGACGTCGTTTCTTACGTAACGGCCAGCTCCCACGATCACTTGTAGTGCAAGGTTCTGCTGGGCCTGCATCTTCTTGCGCTGAGTGGCTGAGGTCAACGCATACCAGGCTGGTGCTGCGTATGTCAGCCGTGAGCGGACGTAGGTCTTGTAGATACCTATTTTGGTGTTCCTTGAGAGTTTGGATGCCAGTATGGGGTTCAGCTTCGCTCGCGCGGCTCTGGCCTGTCTCACGACGTGGTCGACCTGCGGGTTCATTCGCGGCGAGCGATCAATCTGGCATCCGAGGTAGGTGATGGTCGTCCTCCAACCTATGTCCTGCCCACGGAGTTGCAGTGTTGGTGGTGTCCTTCTCAGCCTGGTCATAAAGGCGGTGGTCTTCCCGACGTTGACCGCCATCCTCCATTTGTCAAGCCAATCTGGTAGCAGGTCCAGCAGTCGCTGCAACTTCTTTGCAGCGTTTTCCACCCGACGAGATGACGTGAAGTACGCACTGTCGTCTGCATATAGTGCAAGGACGACGTCCTCTTCCCACTCCTCCAGCTGGTCTTGGAGTGTGGGGATATCGTTAGTGTAGACCGCGTACAGATGAGGTGATAAGCAGCTGCCTTGTGGCACTCCCGCTTCTATCGGTCGTGCTACCGAAACAGCCCCTTCTAGGCTGACTTGAAAGCTCCGCCCGTCCAAGAACGACGCTATTAGCCGCACAAGCATCGGCGGTATGGTGGTGTGTTCGATTAGTTTGAAGATTAGCCCTGCGTGCCACACTCTGTCGAAGGCCTTCTCCATATCTAGGAGGACCCCCATACAGATGCGGCCGCGGTTGTGTTCGGCCGCTAGATAGTGCAGCACGCGGGCCAGTTGAGCAGTTGTTGAGTGTGCTCTACGGAAGCCGAATTGTTCATCCTGTAGAGCGATGTGCGGTGTGATTTTCCTTAGTAGGATCTTTTCGAATAGTTTCGCTATGTGCGGTAATAGCGTTATGGGGCGGTAGCTAGCCGGGTGCCTCCTGTCCTTCCCCGGCTTTGGTAGCACGATGATTTTTCCCTTCTTCCAAATGTTGGGGAAGTGGCCAGTTCTTAGAATGCCGTTGAACAGCCTGGTGAGTTCCACTATCCCCCTTCTTGGCAGCTGCTTAATTGCCATGGTGGTGACTCCGTCGAATCCCGGCGCTTTACAGGCGGGGAGGCGCATGATAGTGCGCGCTACCTCTGTTGGCGATATAAAGTCATTGCCCTTTAGTGGTGGCGCCGGGTTCGACAGGTATTCGTGTACGCGGTCTTGTATGCTTGTTGCATATTCTGTGTACCCCTCTGCTATGGGGTTGGTTTTGAATTGTGCTTCCAGGTGCTGTGCCATCATTTCCACCCTTTTTTGGGCGTTGTAGTAGCGTTTTCCCGTGTTGTCCACTAGTGGGCATGCCGGTGTGGGAGTCTTCGTGAGCTGTCGATTGAGGAGATGAAGGGAGGCGGGTGTTTCCGACGCTTCATCAATTCGTTTATCCCATGCTTCTCCCCTATGTTTTCTTATTGCTTCCGACAGCTCTTCCGTCAGGGTGTTTAGCCTTCTTTTGATAAGTGGGCATCGCGTCTGTGCCCAGAGCTTCCGTAGTCTCCGCTTCTCGGAGAGTCGTGCTTGTAGGTGTTGTGAGAGTTCCTCTCTTCGGCGCCCTGTAGAGACAGGGTGTGAGTGGAGTTTCAGTTGGTCTTCAATTGTATTATTTAGTTGTAGAGCCGCTGCCTCTACATCTTCTTTGGTTAGTATGTTGGCGCCGAGTCGGAGGTCCTCCAGCGCTCTACGGAAGCGGGTCCACTTAGTCTTCATTTTTAACTCTCTGGGCACTACCGCGTCCGCACTTGTATCGATGGTGAACAACACGGGGAGGTGCTGTGTGTCCAGATCATACAGCACCTCTAACCGTATTGGGTACGGTATTTTATGGCACAGCACTATGTCGAGGACATCGGGCTGGTGTTCTGGGTTGGTTGGGATGTGGGTGGGCTCGTCTGGGCCCAGGACCTCGTACCCCCAGTCTTCTGCATCTTCGATCAGTTTCTTCCCGGGAGGGGTGATTATCGTATATATCGTCGTCGATATCGTACGAGCCCCAAGCAGGATGCTTTGCAGTGAGGTCTCCAGCGATAATAGCAGGTGTAGTTGCGTCAAATATTTTTCTTATGTCCTGGGGGTAGAGTTGGGCACCGGGTGGTCTGTAGGCGGCATAAATTATGACTTCTCTAGTGCCCACCTTCATCCTAATCTCTTTTGTCCTTGTGGTGGCGAAGTTATTGTCTGTTTCCACTTCTTCGTGTATGATGTCTCTTCTGACTAGTGCCGCAGTACCTCTGTACGCGACACCTTCAGGGAATACTTCGTCGTGTCGATACACGAAGAAGTTAGGAATCTTTAGTTGGGCGGAGGGGCGCAGCTTTGTTTCTCCCAGCAGTACAATCTGGATATTGTACTGCTGGACCAGCAATCGGAGTTCGGAGGTTTTTCCGGCGATACCTCCGGGGTTCCAATATAAAAGTTTAAGTTGCCGGCCCTCTGTTAGTGGCTGACAGTTGGGCTAGGGCGCCTAATATCGCCGTTGGGGGTTGGACCCCGTGGTCATGGCGTTTAGTACATCACCCAAAATCTTGATGACCACTCTCACTACCTCCGTGACGGCTTCTTCTACGGTGGTTGGTACATATGGGGTTTGTGTGGCGGGTGTGGCGATTGTTGTCTTTCTTCGCTGGTATTGTTCTCGGGGTTGATTTGTTTGCTGTCGTGTTTGTTGTGGGGTATAGGTGGTAAATCAGCACTTAAAATTGCAATTAACAATTTCATTGGTGCCGGCGGGGATCGAACCCGGGTTACTCGCATTCTGTTATATTTACAGCGAGCGTTAACCACTGAGCTACCACGTGCTTTTTACCACGTGCTCGGCGGTGAAGGAAAACATCGTGAGGAAACCTGCATGTCTGAGGAATAAAAAAAAATATTTCGAAGACATGTAAAGTTCGTCAACACGCATTTGGGCAGCGCGGCGGACACTTCCTTGCCCTAAACCCTCTCAGAAATGAGGGGGAGGCCTGAGCCCAGCAGTGGGACGTATATAGGCTGTAACTTTACTTTTTTTATAGGTGGGAGGGGGGAAGCGAGGTTGAAGTCACTCTTGTTTCTACTGCTAGAGTGGCCGCCTTCTTTTTCCTTCTTCTTCTTCCGCTTCTTTTTGGGGGCCAATTTGCGCTCTGTTGGACCATTTGCTGGTGGGGCTAGTGTTGTCCCTGTTGTTACGTGCGCAGATGGAGCTGGTGCTGGCGTTTGGTGCTATATTAAAGGTTGAGGTTGTTGTTGTTGTTGAATTTGTTGAGGTTGCTGCAGCTGTTGATGGGTTTGATGTTGTGGTTGTTGTTGCTGCTGCGGCATTTTAGCTGTTTGTCGAGGCATCTGCGGCTGTAGATTTATGCCTCTCTTTCTCGCAATCCGCTGCAGCACAGGGCACCGGTGGTCGTTGGCTGCGTGGGCCTTTGTGCAGTTGGCACATTTTGGTTGTGCGTCGCGCGGTTTCTGGCATTCCGCTGCGGGGTGGTTACCCGCGCAGCGGACGCATTTGAAGGGGCGGTGGCAGTTCACTGATGCATGCCCGAATCCCTGGCATCTGTGACATTGCGCAGGGCCGATTCTGCCCTGCCAGCCTTCTATAACAATTCCCGGCATGTATAGTAACTCATTTATTTTATAGAGCCGGTTGAGCTCTTCTGGGGGCAGGTGGTCTAGTTTGACGTGGAATAGGCATCCGGGTCTTCCCCTTTTTAGGTGGGATCGCTCTTACGAATGTGACGGGAAAGCCCATTTCTATGAGCGCATCCTGGATGTCTTGTGGGTTTGTATCTGCAGGGAGTCCTCTTATTCCCACCTTCGTGGGCTGTTCGTCACGTGGTGCATAACAGTACCATGCGATGGTGGTGTCCTCTCTGCTTTGTTCGATGAGGTATCTTTGGATTTTTCTATATTCTTCTTCCGATTGGGGCCGGAAGCGTACCCCTTTGCCAAACGGGCGAGCGTTTGGGGCGTGTCCAATTATGTTGTGTAATATTTTGAAGTGCTTCGCCCAGTTTGGGAAGCACTCCACTATTATTGGTGGATACTTTGCCGCTGTTGGTGTTTCAATGGGTGGTGTTGGTCCCGTTGTTCGTGGAGATGGTGGTCGCGTCGCTTTGGGCGCGGCCGCTATACGTGCATACGTGTCTGGGGCTGTCGATGGTCCCGGCACGGGTTCTGCGTCCATTTCTTGGGTCTCAGTTGGGATGTCCGTCAGGGTCTTTGTTGGTGACGGTAATTTTGGAGGGTTGATATGTCTTGTTATAGGAGCATCCAATTCCTTTTCCGGAGTAGGTGGTGGAGTAGATGAATCTGATTCTTCATCTGATGACGGTGTGCGTGACCCTGGTTTGGGCCTCTTTTCGTCTTGGAGTTCGTCGGATTCTGTTTGTGGTGCTCGTTTGACTGCGAGGTGGGATGTGGTTGCCAATTCGTGGCTTAGTGTCCTAATAGCCCGGCTGGTAATGGGTGTGGGACTAAGTGGTGGACTTCCGATTCGTCTAGGGATTTGGCTGACCGGGGGGATGACTCGTAACTTCTCGGGATCGAATAGATTTCTTTCCATGAGCGGTCTGTCCAAAACCCCTGGTCGCCTATCTGGTGGTCCTCGGGGAGGTGGGGGGGTTCCCCCCTTGTCCGTCATTTTCTTGATTAATTAATTAGTGCACAGCCCTTGAGCAATCGCACACCTTATTCCCCTCAGCGCGTGCTACCACACCGGGTGAGACCCTGGGGGAGGCCCAGCGAGGCGCCCGCGAGCAGGGAGGGGTGTGCGAGTCTCTGGTGGGATGGGCGTGTATACACTGGAGTGTCCTTCTTGATCAAGAAGGATGTCCAGTGCTGATGCCGATTCTTGTGAGGTCACTTGTAATTCGCTGCGGAGAATGCCAGTGACGGTTCAACGCTACACGGAGCGAGCTCAACGTTTAGCGGAATTGCCGACTGGCAACACGTAGTCTTCCCAGTACGTACACTCAATACAGCACGGGAGCGCGATTAAGGCACGTCTGTTCAGTAGCACGGTCCACAACGATATATATGATAGATGATGATACGAATTGCAAGAAAAATAAATTTACTGAACTACCTCGAAGCTAAACGCGAAAGTGAGCCGCGCCATTTGTGCGCTTGCGCAACTCAATTACATCAATTTGTACTATCACTCTCTCACGGTTTGCTCAATAACTTTATTTGTATAAGACATACATTTATACAATTTACTTATAAAGATAGCACAAAGAAATATCTATACTACGATATACATTACATTTTCATATCACAAAAAACCCTTTATTTATTTAACAAAATATGCTTATTTTACTCACATGTTCAAAGTTGGAATTTCTTAAATATTTAACATAGAAAGTTAAAACAATGTTTTCCACTTGAAATTATACACATCTTAACTAATACAATAGTTTAATTTACATTTTCTCTATACATTACACTATTAAAACACTTTTAAATTTCTTATACAAAACTATCATTATTTCACTTATTCACAGGAATTTTCACATGAAAATAACACAGAATTCACCTATTTTGTTCATACAGTCAATCTAGAATATTTTACAAGTCAATTTTACATAAATTGCTGAAATTTGCAAATATTTAAATTTCTACTTATTTTGACCTCCTAAGTTAACGTGCGGCTATGAACTCACGCTAGTTGAACAACTAACTTTTGCACGGCTATCAATTGTCGGCAAAAATGGCAAATTTAGCACACACTGTTATCGACCAATACTAGGTGAACAACTGATTCTACATGACTCCCAAATTGTAGGAAATTATTTCTTACTAGATTCTTATCAGTTATCATGTTTCTTATCAGATAATATAGACAAAATATTTTATGAATCAAACATTGAAAACAAACATTTTGTTTTCGTACAAAACGTATCAAACTCATATAAGATAATACTTATGCAATTAATCTCCATTAATTCTATTTATTCACAAAGTGAACATATCGACCGGGGAACAAATCCTGGTTTTATATATATTATATATATACTTTATTTTAATATTCCTTTAAATTAACAATACTATTGGAAAGGTGATTTCAACCGGGGAACTGAACCCGAAAACATAATTCATATCTTAAAAATTCCCTATATGAATTTATTAAGAAAATATTACTAAGAAAACGACAAACTAGTCCTGCCTGGGAATCTAACCCAAGACCTTCATATCATTAATTCGATATTTCTTTAAGATTCAACTAAGCATTTTCTTATCGGAATATTGTTGCTTGATAAATTGCTTTTTAGAAGCTATTCGTAATCGGTTAACTAATAAATTGAAATATTCTTATAGGCGCGTCGCCAACAACAATCCTCTTGTAAAAATGTGTCGCCTATATAATGACTTATTGATTAATAATAGTAAAAATATAGACATTTTTAATAACAAATTAAACGATTTCAAAAAAATCCGTATTAGATATATTTTGTAAATAAGGCATTCAAGGCTTAAAATTTAAATTTAAATGTATAGGTAAATGAACATTATTTTAATAAAGATTTAATTTTTCAAAATTTTCCACAACATAAGTTCATAAGTATAGTATGTTTATAAGTAAGGTTATAATTATTTGTGCTGTAAAATCGTTATTGTTACTTAATATCACGTTGTGTGCACATGTTTTGGAATACCATCCAGATTGTAACTTTTTATTTATTGTTTTCAATTGTTAATGTTTTGGTGTTATTCTGTTTTGTGTACCTAAATAAATAAATAAAATAAAACTTCAGAATGTATCGAATTTCTTCGTTAGATTCACTCATTTTGGCGGACAGAAAAACAATTGAAAAATGGCGGGAAAGTGTTTTTTTTTTTTTTTTTTATTTTTCAATATTCTGTATGACCAGCCAGGAGGCCAACAAAGAGATTTTTATTGAATTTAATACAAACGAAATATGAAGAAACTTTTTCCTTGACCTGTTATTATTATGTTGGGGCTATTTATAGAGAATTCTCACCTGCTTGGGCTGAGTTATTTACTCATGTACTATGAAATAAAATGATCAATATTCATAATTACAGTAACATTAATAAATAAATTATACATAAATAAATAAAAACCCAATCAGACGGAATCCTTCGACAGAGGAGACTAAACGGATAAGGGTCAGGGCAAAAGGGAACGAAACCGGCGGACGATGCGGGCGGTATCGAGGAGCACCGACTTCTGCGTTTGAGCCAGGAACGGTCCGTCACAGAGTCCCACTCGCGTCAGATGACCTGAGAGGCTGACCTGGGTTAGTCCATTCGCAGGGACGACCACAGGAATAATTTCGGTCGGCAGACCACCACACATGTCGGTTACCACGTGAACCAGGTCTAGATAATTTGTTTGCTTGGGTTCGGCTTTTGCGAGATTCTCGTCATATGGAATGGTAATGTCGACCAAAAATATCCTTGACTGTGCCCGGTCCATCAGCACAATAACAGGCTTATTCGCAAGAATAGACCAGTCTGTGATGATGACCGGGTCCTAGTAGAGCCTTACGTCATTTTCGAGCACGGCTTTTCGAGACAGTTCCGGATCCACGACACCGTATTTCAGTGTCAGCTCCTGGTGGAGAATCCTGGCTAATAGGTTATATAAGTACTCAGAGATAGAAAGCGCCAAACAACCAAAGATGACGTGCCTTAGTGACTCACCGGAATAGCGACAAGCTCGACAGATTTCGATTGTGCCATCCTTAAAGATGTATCTCCGATGGTCGTTAGTCTTAATAACTTGATCCTGTACTGCACAGACAAAACCCTCGGTTTCACTGAAGGGGTCACCTAAACGTAGCCAGGCAACGCATCTACGAATATTAAAGAAGAGCCTTGTAGAACCTCCCGTGGAGCTCCTTCTTCTTCCATACGGTTTCCTGATCGGAAGCTAGCCCTTTACCATGCAAAATGACGTCTTTGTGGAATGGATCTGATCTCGACAGGCAATTATTACATAAGCTGCATACTTCGCGATTATGCATGGTGAGAGCGCTATAAAAGCCGCACCTACCATATTTCCGCGGCAAGTACAATCCTCCGATAAACGAGAGTTACTAAGTTAGCTCGTCGATTTAGTAAGCTGAAGTGGCACTGGGCCGGACATATAGCTAGAGCTAGATAGCAGAACCGTTACAGAATAAGGCTACTTGCGTGGCAACCTCGTTCGGTTAACGGAGTGTAGGGCAAGATCTATTAGATGAACAGACTTGGTAAGTCGTGAAGATTACAAATACAGAGGTTAAGGGATTACACTTTGTGGCGTTTAGGCCCTGAAGACTATTTCTAATATTGGGCATATGTGATGGCCTGGAATGATATTAGTAATATTTGTGTCTACAAGTGTTTTAGATTTTTTCACTTGATGTCTGCTTCTCCATGGATGGACTTTTTCTCTAAATTTATTTGATACCACTCCAGAAGTATAAATTGCTCCACTTTTGATGAATTATTGCATAGCATAAATATAAAAAAGAACATTCAGCCGAATTGATACGATACAAACATAATAAATAACTGCTTAAGGTCTTCAAGGCACAAACTTACTCCTTGTTGAAAAGCCGGCAACGCACCTGGAATTCGCCTGGTGTTGCAGTTGTTCGTGAGCGGCGGTCGACACTTTCCATCAGGTGAGCCGCGTGCTTGTTTTCCCGCACTTATTAAAAAATTGAGTACCTCTTCCTTTTTCAGAGTCGGCTAAATATAAAATGTGAGATAAAAATAAAATATATATATATATATATATATATATATACATATATAGAATATAGAATATACGGATAATATATATATATATATATATATATATATATATATATATATATATATATATATATATATATATATATTCGTATATTCTTTGTTAAGCAAGTTGTGATGTTTTTATGTGGCCGTGGAAGGAAAAGGGGAGATCTCCCGCCGGGTAAGGTGTTCTGCCCGGGGAGCGGCTCACACTCCATGTGATAGTTCGGAGATGTTCTATATATACTGTTTCTGATTCGGAATGTTAATAGCGGGATTTAGGCGTCGGAGTGTTTCGGTGTGCTAGTGGCGCGACGACAGCGCCGCTACATCACCTCCCTGCTCAGACCGGAGGTCGATAGTGCAGCCTCGTTGCCGACAAATGTGCAAGTGCCAGATTGCCTTGTATTCTGCGGTGAGTCGAGAAGAAGGCTAGTAATCTGCGAGGGTGCCGTGAAGCAGAGGCGATCACTAAGGCTCAGAGCCGTCCCGAACGCTGCGATGAACCTTGTGAAGCTAGGATGGCTTGCAGGATATGAAGACTGCAGTTGATATCTGCTCGGGAGCGAATGGGTGGGGTATTCTATGACGAAGACGAAACTTGATGTTTTCCGAAAGTTGTTGGTTACGTGTTCAGATCACGTCGGGGTCACCACTGTGGCCGTGGAAGGAAAAGGGGAGATCTCCCGCCGGGCAAGGTGTTCTGCCCGGGGAGCGGCTCACACTCCATGTGATAGTTCGGAGATGTTCTATATATACTGTTTCTGATTCGGAATGTTAATAGCGCGATTTAGGCGTCGGTGTGTTTCGGTGTGCTAGTGGCGCGACGACAGCGCCACTACATATATTTATTATTGGTGACTGACATATTAATGTTGCGGAGATGTAACTAGA